CGTCTCGCGGCTCCTTCGCCGCCACTCCACTCCACGCCCCGCCGCGCAGCTGCCGTCTTGCCGCGCGAGCGCCGACCTTTGTTTTCGGCGCGGGGATCTCCGAGGCGGCTGCTGGGATCTGCCCGAGGACGGAATTCGCGGCTGAATGCGGTTTAGGATCCCGGATGAGTGCCGTGTGCGAAACCGATGGAGTGGGTTTCCATGGTGTGCGGAACCAGCGGAAGGATGTGAAGGGCTCGTTGCTGGTTTCTGAAGATCCCATTTGATATTTCGTTTCTGAGATATGTTGTACGTTTTTTTCCTCAAATATATCAAAATTTATTTTAGTATACGTTTTGCTACTTTTAATTGTATTCCATTTTTTGAATTTCAAAAAAAAAGTATATCAATTTTCAATGTTTTTGCCAAATAACATCTCGTGAGAATCTGGGACCATTTTCACGATATTTTTCTTTATTCATTCTTATTCTTTAAAACTCATTTTGCGGACATAGTTAACTCCTTGCCTGCTTGTATCTTCTCATCTCCTTTGAAAACCTATACTTGAGCGATTCCATTGTCACCCTGTTCATTCCGCTTTGGAGGCGCTATCAGCCCCATTCCGTCTCGCACTGCCCTTCGTTTCTCCGCCGCCCGATAAATCGCCGTGCGACATAAATCTGCGGAAATTACGCGCCGGCGTTCGCACAATAACTCAGGTCGCGCGCGGCGGCGGAGGCGGAGCAGGCGGCGGAGGTCGGCGGGCGGCGATAAGCAGGGCCCTCAGAGGCCCCGCGCGCGCCTACCGAGCCCTGGAACCCTCTCGCAACTCATTCACGCCTTCTGCTCCCGCCCCAGGCCCCGCTCCCGTCCCCGTCCCCGCCCCGGATTCCGCCCACGCCCCCGCACTGCCCCGCCCGGCTCCCGCCCCCGCGCTCCGGCTCTCCGCCCCGCCCCCGCCTCCGCCCTGCCCCGCCCCCCGCCCCCGCTCCCTCCCCGCCCCCGCTTCCGCCCCGCTTCCGCCCCGCTCCCTCCCCCGCCCCGCCCTGCCCCGCCCCGGCTCCCGCCCACTGCCCCAGCTCCCGCCCTCGCTCCAGCCCCCGCCCCCGCATAGAGTTAAAGAATTGTTGCAGTTACTTCAGACTTCAAAAAAGCAACAAACGTACGCGTGCCTTTGAATACCGTTATATTTACACCATTGCGTGTTATGCTACTATTGGAAGAATCTTTAGAGAGTAATCACGACATCTCTGTGTGCATTGAAAAGGCATGACGTAATGAAATATATCATTTTTAAATGAACACTAGCTCTGCAGTTTTATTACGTTCTAATTAAAGCGAATACTAGAAAATCTAGATTTGCATTTCATGAGATATACATAGTCGATCTTTTTGAAGGTACGACTCAGACGATGCAAATCAATATTTAAATCCGTTACTGCGAATCAACAATGAATCGAATCAATGCTGAGATGACTCAGCTGAGTCGTCGGCTGACTAACTCATGCTGTGACTTTCTTCTTGACCTATCCTTCCCGTCGCTTACTTTTTCTCCAAGTCCACGCACCCACATCCCCCAAGACACTGTGGAGTAGTGCGTTGTGTTTCGTATTGCACGGGGGGGGGGACGGGGTGGCTCTTGCCCTCCACTGCTCCGACGTTGACGACCTCCGGCAGCCCTCGGTTACGACGCCGTGGGGCGCAGACGCCTCTTCAACCACCCCGTCGCCCCTCGACGTAACGAAGGCCCGGCCGCCGCGCGCTTCACGATCCGATTTTGCGCTCCGGAAGCCTCGATGTTTTAGTTTCCTTGCGTCCTGTGCTGCTGTAGCTCATTTTATCTTCTCTTCGTTGATATGTTTTAGCCTAGCGTGTCCCATAAAGGGCAAAGGTCTCCTGCAAGAGGGGAAGCTTTTATAAAACTCACGGGGTGAGCTATCCCACGTAAGTGTGAATTAGAACTGAACATCTGCACTTCGTAACAGGTGTCTCTCATGACCGTTCCAAATTTTTCTACACCTCTCCGCACTTGACTGCAGTGGCTCCACTAGGCTATTGAAATAGTCGCCCCATCTGGTTCGTGATCTTCCTCTGCTTCCGATGTACGGATCCCACATGGTGGCCTTCCGCGCCCATCTGTCTTCGTGTAGTCTTCAGACGTGACCCGTTCATTTGCATTGAATTCTTATAGCCTGCAGTGCAACGTTCTTGGAGGATGTGATAACTTGGAATCTTGCGTTTGAAACTCTGTCCTGTAGTGAGGGCCAGGTGAAGCTGTAGTGAAGCCCAGGAATTTTGTCTTTATTTTTCTTTGGCAGATCTCTAAAGAGCGCGTTTCTTTGTCTGTTAAGGACCACGCCTGAAAATTCTAGATTAAGACAGGAATAACGCATGCATGTATGGCTTCTTTTTTGAGTTTTCTGTTTGAGGTATAAAACAAAAAAGTTCTGAGCGTGAATGCTACAAACATTCCACAGAATTTTAAACTATTTTCATCCAATCTTTTAGGTAAAATATTAATTTAACTCATGACTTTCTGTTTGACTAAAAGCAAATGCATTGAAGAGATGTATCTTTCAATCATTAAACATAAATTGTGTGTAAAAAATGCAGGATTTTTCATTTATAACAAATTAGAAGAGTATTATAAATTGTGAAAATGTTAAACTTAAACTTTCTAATACATCTGATGTGTAGTCTTAATAGGCTATTGCGTTGTCTACGTATTTGTGATGATGATGAACAAAAGACTGTTTAAGTTTCATTCTTATAAAGAATGTATATTCTCTGCCTCGAGTCATGAAAGTCTCTGACGTTGCATTGGTTTGTGAGATTACCAAACTTAAAGAGGTAAATTGCTTTCATCAAATTCTCTACCTGCAATTAGGAACTCGAGAATTATTATGCTCGGTGTGCTTTCGAAATTCGTAAATTAACAGTTTTCAAACAAAATTGGTTATTGACTGTTTTCACCAAACATGCGGTGAATGTTAAGGGGCAGGGGCTGCAAAAAACCTATTGTAATGTGTACTGATTTTGTATTCATTAGCGGTGCTTTAGAAGTACTTCATGTTTACAGTTGCAATACATGTACGTGGTTGTAACAGCGATCGTATGAGAACTAGCAAGTTTTGAGTTTCTGAAATTCAATTTTCTGATAAAAAGAAAGTTCATTTCCGAGCAGTTATTAGAATGTAATGAACCTTTTTTCGTGTTTACGTGGGTTAAATTTTCTATGCATTTTGAGATGGCAAACATTTAATTCAGAACCATAATTTTCTTTTGTGTTCATTTTGTTTGAATCGAAGACGTTTAGAATTAAAGGACACTTAAAATAGACACCAGTCTCAATTATGTAATGTGTGTACACAAAGGAGATTGTGATGATAAAAGACTTCAAGCAGAATATTAATATTTCTGCAAAGTTTCGTGTATTCGAAGGTCTTTTGGAAGTGCTTCTTCGCATACTTTATTAGCTAAGGGAAAGAAACAAGATTTGCGTCTCTTGCTTTCATCTTATAGTCTTTTTTTCTTTTTGTTGTTCTTTCAATCACTTCCAGTGAATCTTCTCAGAATTTATATGAAGTATTTCCTTGCTTTACTTCCGTTATAAGTTGATTAAAGTTGATTATGTTTCGTCAATTTATGTCGCTTGGAAATCAGTACTCATTAAAGAGAGAGCGTGTTTGGAATATATAATTGGCCGCTGTCGTTTCACAAATGTTGCTTTAGCGGCCTGCTGTGCAAATATCTAGAATTAGTTTCTTGGCTCTCAGAAAGAGGCTTTTTCGAAGAATAGGAGCTAAAGCCTTTAAATGTTAGATATAACGAACGGGAATTCGACAGTACTGAATAAGCGAAATATGATCAAGACGTACTGTGTATTAATGTATTCTTTTGTATTGGGAATTCACGTAAAGAATTGGGGTATTTTGTAATGTTCAATACATATGAAACTGAAACCTTATATGCCGTTTTTAATTAATCTTTTTAATTTATAAAAGCATTTACTTTCTTTTATTATGTTACCTTGTAAACTCTCAACTTCGCTCTCTCTCAATACGTTTACTTATTTATTACTTACTTAACGACAGAAACCGTTAAAACTGTTCGTGGCGGTATATTTCCATCTATAAGCAAATGAAGGGCCCTTTTCAACATTTGCTCAAAGGATTGTAAGAAATGAGATGAATAATCCGATGAAAATGGACATTTTTCAAGTATTTTTTCGTTTTCTGTGTGCAATTATACGATTTATTAATATTCTTCGAACTGTATTGAAATATACATATGATAAGGATCAGTTATTACGTAATATGAAGTTGTTATATGTTAGACTGTTAGGGGTGATAAAACCTAAATGTTCACTGGTGAACGTTTTAGGTTTTATTTTATCGTTTGCCTTCGGATTATGTAGGAAAAATAACTTTTATACTTTAAACTTTCAAATATTTTATTTACTATCATTCCTTAGCCTATGGTATACTGAAATTGGAAGCAAAGAATTGATGGCACCAACTGAAGGTTCATTGACTCGTCATCAATAAAATTCAATGACGAAGAAAAGTTTAAATTCCAAAAAAATTTAAAAAGAAATTACATTGAACAATTTTTTAGTTAATTTAGAATATTTCAAAAGTCACATAAATTATGAGAAAATGTACACGTTATTTTTAATACTCTTTATTCTAAACTGTTTGATCATAACTGCCGGCTGTAAAGATCTAACTCCGACACCATACTTAATCCAATGGAAATGGTAACTAAATTACAATATGTAACATGAGCATGTCTTCTAGTGCCCCACCAACCTCGATACCACAAATCTGCAAACACATTGTATGAAAATACCTGATTATGTATAAATAATTTATAGCTTGATCTTGGCAATGTGAATACACAGTTGATTTATAAATGGATCATGGAATCTTACAAAAACTTTCGTGGTAAGAAAGGATAGGACTTGGGGTATGTTACTTATATAAGGAAAGAGGTACGTCATTGGATACATATCGCATACATACGTCATCGTTTGCTTTATTCACGTAAATGAAAGTACAAGAGACTCAAAGATTTCCATTGCATTAGCCAAACTTCTTCACAGAAAGTTCAACTTCCGGTGGGTCGTAGTCAAAACTGTAGAGCATTCGTTCTCCAACTGGAACATTCAATCTAATTATACTTCATTTACCGAAACACACATCTACTATATTTAATATTCTGAAAATGTAAGAAATAATTCGTCATAAATACTTTTCTTATGCTACTAGTGTTTTACGCGAGAGATATAAATTGTGCATGCTACACTTGGGATCGATTGCTTTTCTTCCTAATATTAATCGAATTACAATTGGAAGAACAATGCGCATATTGATGTACAAGTCTTAACAAATACTTACTCTCGGTTTTATTCTTGTCACTTGCGGGTTCTGCCTGAAAAAAGAGTGTTAATTTTAAATATTAATATTGTGTTATGCGATGGATATCCTTTTCATTTTAGACTAAAAGTATTGTAGTTACATGGAAATTATGTTCATTGAATTCTTATGATCAAATTTCCTTCGTTTTTTTACTTTAAGAGAAGAACGTTCAATAATCATTGCGATAGAACTGTTAATATTTAATTCGATGAGAGGTATATTTTTTAATGAAATAAGTGATACCCCATTTCACTAGATTAATAATTCATATATTTAACTCTTCATTAAAAATGCAAATAATTAAATTCGAATAATTTACGCATAATGAGTGTTTTGTTTGCCGAAATGCAAAGCAAAACTCACAGACGATGGCGCACCTAGTACGAAATAATTTTACCAATTCTGGACATAAATCACAGTTCATTTAATTAAGCGGCTTTCAAGCGCGTTATCGAAAGTTCATGTTCGTGAACTTACTGAACGATAAAAAGCGAACAAATTTACATGTGAGTTAAATCTTCGAGAAAATGCTGGTGGTTTTCATGATAATGCAAAGAAAGTGAATAAAAAAAAGGATTCTTGTTAGCAGACGCTAACGCGATGATGCCTTGAGATGAATTAGCGGGACAATGTTGAAAATACTGTGGTAATACGCTGCACTTCTGACGCATTGATATAAACGCATAAACTAACTTACTGCGTTTTCTAGTTAGGCAAACGAGATTCAGTACTTGTTTACATTTAATTTTTATTTCATTGATATATTGTAGTAGCATTATTAAATCACTAAGAAGAAATTCAAATTATATTATTGAAATAAAACCTTTCGCAATGATAAGAACACATACTTTTTTATATTGCCGTGTGGCTATCAGTTATTATTTTTTAGGACTCGTTTCCCATCGGAAGAAAGTCCATTCCTTAAGCATACCAGCGAGCTTTCTCTGGCAGTGTACGTACCGGAAGAGCTAGACCGGACGCTGTGGCGAGTGCCAGGAGGAGGACCGCGAGCACGGCACGCAGCGGGACCCACATGGCGCCTCCGCCTCGTGCCTGCGACGTCCCGGACCACAAGCAGCGGCTGCCCGCGCGCGGCCGCCTCTTATATACGCCCATGCGCGCCCTACGCGTTTGCACGCCCCGGGGGAACGCGCCACCTCCCACTGGCCGCCCACGCCGCCGTCTGCCAATAAACGAACTTTGGTCTCGGCCGTTAAACTGCCAGTGCGCCCACGTGATGTCCATATCGGAATTTGTAGAGCGTGATTTAGTGTTGCCGTAAAGTCTCACTACGCAGTTCGTAAATTTTAAGTTGGGGTTTATACGGCTTCTGGAAAGTTTCGAAGAATTGCATAAAATCTGGAAATGACTCGCAATTTTGCGTGTAGCCTATTTTATCTGTTTTTTGTATCTTTGTGTAATAAGCATGACTTGGAATACTCTAAAGAAAAACGATATACGCAGAGGTAATTGTTTTTGGGTATTCTATAGCTAGGTATGTATTTTAATCTTATGGTATCTTGGGGAATATTTTTTCAAAATATTTTGTATTCGGCTTTCTTTTCAGTATTTTATTTCACAACTTTCTTCTCGAATGTCACTTACCTAATACATGTTATGTTCTTTTATTGCCTCTAAATTTATTTTAGATTGGACAATTGTACGAAATATCAATGGGGAGAATATTATTTTGAGACGTTATTACATTTTCATACTTCTTATTTCTTTACAATGAATTCAATGTTATATTAGCTCAATTATAAGGTAATATGTTGTCGACATTTATTTTGTTTCATTATTTCTGTTTTAATATGTTGCCCAGAGTCTAACCTTATGATGAAATTGTTTTTGGTACTTTCAACACTAAACGTGAACTTTCAATACTAAACCGTTGCGGATTCGATGGATCGCGAAAGTGAGTTTAGGAGACGCTGGGTGGTCGATATTCATATCGTACTTAGTGATAAATTATGCATGAAATTGTAGATGCCATGAAAGGGGACAATGAATACATTGTTTATAAATAACCGTGTGCATACCAAATTTCTAAATAGGATATTGTCCTGGGATGTCCATACTTTCTCAATTGTACTGAACATCTGTAATGACTATTCTTTCATTTGCTTAAATGCCAACGACGCGGTACCGGCTTAACAATACCGAAATTGCTAAAATCCAAAAATGGGCAATAAAATTGGCTCTGTTCTGGCTGTCTAGTGGAGGACTGTTCTTATGTCGTTCCAAAGCAATGGCTTGAAGATGATTACTTTTGCCAATGAAGATGTGGATTACTCTGGGACAATGGGACTACTCTTTATTCTGAAGTGTTTTGGTGAATGATGTTGGCTCACAATCAAAAATATTTCGAATTCCTATCGAATATTATTGCTTGACGGGTGTATTCTCTAGCCAAAATAATCGTCTCTGAATTGGCAGCGCTGAGTTAATATGCGACTTCCTAATCAATAAAGAATTTTCATTATTCCATGTCGTTTCGAGTTGATGCAATATTAATAACGTTTATTAATATTTAATATTCCAATGGTTAAGTTTATTATTAAAAATTATTTTTGCTTTTTTTGAAGATAGAATTCCCATTTAAGATGATTCGTGTTCTAGTCATTTTATCAGCATATTAACGTGTGCTGTATCTGGACTTAATGCAATTCGTTTCTACAAATCACACTAGGCTCTACGGGATTGAAGATGTCTGCAAATATTGAGCAGGAATTTTGAACTTTTTCTACGTTGTAACGGACTTATTTCTTTCAAACATTGGAATTTTGTCTTTTCTATATGTGCTATGCGTGTCCAAAGCGAATGTAGTCTGAAATCTCGGCTCCACGGGAGTCTGAGTACTTGAGCAGATAGAGAGAGAGAGAGCCAGCAGTTCAACTTACGCAGGGAAATTGCTACCGTGTCGCTACTGGCTCCCTCATGACTACCAGATTCACTCGGCACATACTGCGATCGCTCACCGAGCTCTTGGAAGCCTTCTCTTGCACAACGCCTTGAGCTTACAACGAAACGCTAGGCCATGCTTTTGACAATATGTGTGATTTTTCTTTCCAAAATAATTATTATTAGTGTTCGTGGTAGTAGTTTTAGTTACTAAATGTTCAATGATAATGTCCATTGGAATTATTACGTGTAATCTCAAGCAGTAGCTTCTCGGGTTGATGCAGTTATGCACATGAATTCATGTTGTATGTAGTGCGATATCCGTATGTAGGTATGTAATTTATACAATATGTAGAACTCACAATATCGCAGTGTATCTAAGGGAAAATATTGAATTCCTTCGATTTAAGACGGTGAGAGGTAAAGCTGTGGCAGTTATTTAACGTTTCACGTAGTTCATTACTAACTGAATCTGGAAACGTTTTAAAGTGCTTCTTGTCTTGTAACAAAATATGCGTTCTTCTAAGAATTAAATGCCTCTTGCGATTATATTTGTAATTATTTAGTATACACGCTTTTAATGATATCGTTTCAAAATCTAATACCATTTACATTCCTACACCTATTCTGCTTCTTTTGATTACTGATAATGTCAACATGAAGCTGTAATACATCACGTACGTGCCTGAAATGTCACTTTCTAGGTAGCCAAATGTTAATGACGTAAGTTTGTGTCTTGTTTTAATTCCTTTCGGAAATTAGTTTTCTCATTTCTAATTATGACTGAACTTCCGTTTCTTCTTAGTTTCTTGGCATAATACTAATCTGGCGTAAGAGTAGGGAAAGTGATGTCGCAACCTTTCAGAAAAGTAATTTTCTGTGACCTTTCTGCCAGGATACAATATTGCGTCGTTTTCTTTGAGTTTCGTGTCTGCTTTTAAACACTTGCCCTTCCACTGACATGACGAAGGATGCCAATTTTGAAATTGAACGTCAGAATACCAGTATGGAATATTATTTAGTATTCTTCGCGTAGCGATTCACTACATTGTAACATAAAGGGACAAACATTATTTATTGCGTTTTTAATATCTTCATAATTAGTTTCTTTGAAAAGATGCTTATTTGTGTTTATGATATCTGTTAGTCTGATCAATTACAATAGTTTTACTAGACTTGAAAACAATAAATGTTCTGAATTTGATTATTAATATGAATTTATTATTAATTTAACTTGTTTTCTCATTCTTTCTAATGTTGCCATATTAAATAGAAAATTTCTTTTCTGGATCGATAACAGTACACTTCAGTGGTTTCATTTTAAAGAAATATTTTAATAATAAAGCGCAGACTTGCAAATGAATACCAAGGAGAACTGAGGAAGAAATATTTGCGAGCCGCAGGAATTTTGAAGTATTTTAGAGAAGAATTTCGTCTATCTTAGCCCAAAGAAAGATCGGAGGGGATTGAATTTTCTTGTCTTGAATTCTGCTTAAAATTTATTAAATCAAAGTTTAATATTATCATAATGATACATTCTCTGTTGATTATTACCAAAGTGTCAAGTGTTGAAAACCGATAATGTTAATGCACGAGTCTTATTTTCTCACTTGCATGTCATTTTATGAACCAAATAGATGTGTTACGAATATTTTTCAAGAATGTAGTATAAGTTGTAGGAGTTGTAATGAATCGATCCTAATACTGATCATTTTGTTTTACAGGTGAGTGATCTACTTTTGATGACGACTTGATCTACCAATCTGTAAGTGGTAAACATTAATTATGTGTAATAGAAATACTTTTATGACAATTCGACTCAGGAAAATTGAAGATAAATTCTCAAATAACATGTCAGACAATGCAGATCATTCACCATTTCGCTTGTTGCAGTTACCAATTTTAAATCTTACTCTCGCCAACATTCATGGAACAATAAAATAATTTGTCATGTACGGTTGTAAATATCAATGATTGTATCAAAAATATTCGTAATACTTGTTATCTAGCTAAGAAGAAATCTATTGTTCCTCGCCAGAACTGTTGAAATTTAAAAGTTAATCGCGCGCATAACACATGGAAGTGAGTCAGGGACTGGGAGTTTTGCTTGTTCCTTTTGTGTGGCGTGGCTGTTCTATTTTTCTGTGCCGGATTCATGATTGAGTTGATTGATTAGATATTCCTGGCGCGTCAAAAGTCATGTGTCAAGTAAGTATAGGGTATGCTTTTATTATGAGATGTGGCGATGATCTTCCCCCACTAACTGGCGGTATCTAGTGCCGACCTACACGTTGCTGACTCGCGAGGTTTCCCCAACCAGGAACAGGACATTGTAAATATATATTTAGAAACGAGACGAATGTAGTTCGTTCATTTCATTAAAGAACATTACTTACAAAGATAATCTTACGCTTTTTTATCACAAAAGTGAATTTATTGCCTGAATTGTATTGAAGCAAAGTTGTCTGTAGAAATTGTCTGCTACAACAATCCCTGAGGAGTAGTTTCGATCGCAGGAATGACTAATTCATTATCTCCAAATCGCTTATCAACGCAAAAACATGGCAATTACTGTTCACTGGTTAAATGTAAAAATGTTTGTTAGTTTGATCTTACTTTGTCATGAATTCTTAAAAAAATATGATACGTGGGTGTAATTTTTCAGTTTCCTTTATAGATGCACCATTGGTCCATCTCTACATTGTGAAGTACAAGACATGTCGTGAATGTTAAAATTAGTACGATTTTAGAGATGATCTGATTCATTTCATGAGAATGTTTTACAATTTTTATTCATATTTACATTGAATATCATATCCACATTAAAACACTCTGTACAAGAATTACTCAGTTAGTTTGTTAAAAAATTATTATCTTTTGTCATCCACGAAACAAGTATGAGATGAGATATTTACAATGAGATGAGATCTTATTTGCATTGCGTGTTACATCTGCTTCTCTATCTCTTTTTCAAAACAATTTTCTCGAATGCCTTACACATCAATGTTGTAATTTACTTTTCATTAACACAGCAGACACTCCAAATTGATCACGGTGGTTATCAACCGCGTACCTTTGTCATAGCAGAGCTAATTTGCAAAATCATAAACAAATGCAATTATTGCATACTCAACACGGAGTCACGCATTGTATTCTGTTATTTGCATTACATTATCTAAATATGAATTCGAAAGTGCAGAGCAACTCTCTCTCACGGGCGTACGACTATCCGCTGGCGCCATCGCTGCGTACGT